AAACAGATTTTACATTTTGTGAGGCTTTCCTGTGTAACCCAGGTTCAAAGCGTTTGTTCCCATATAGGAACAAGTCTTGCTTAATCACTTTTATTGTTCTTGGCCACATTTCTTGGATTAAGACACTTTCTAACAGGAAGAGACACAGTAGCACATACATTAAATCAACATAACCTTTTGTTGTGAACACCAAGAAGCAAAGATTAAAAGCCCAGTTCCTCAGATGCAGGCTACATAAACAGCGATAAATTAATGTTTTCCACAAACAGGACATTTCTATCACGAGAGGAAAAACTAGAAAACACTTCAGTGTTTTTAACTGTGTTTCACAGTGAAGATTTTCTTTCCATGTGCTAAATAAACCCGTCTCTAGTCTAAGATGGGAATTGGGATGCTGGCACCAAGCAGCCATCTGACATTTAAAGATAATGTTGCTGAGAGACCCTGTCAGCCAAGAAGCTGGTGAGGCAGTGACTCACCATCACCACCACCATCACCTCCATTGTCATCATTATCACCAACACCATCAAATATTTAAGACTGTTTACTCGGCTGGAACATGCAATGTATCCTGGAGGGTGTAATCACGTTTGACTGGTTCCCATGCATTCAAAGTCACTTCACAGGATATCTCTCTTATTTTGGAACATACAAAATCAGCAATTTCTACCTGTGATTTATTTAAAAAGAGAAAAATGTTAAAAACACAGTGAGATCATGTTTAATTTTAAGTACAGAAACATGAAATCTGTGGAACTTGAAAAGCAGCTTCTCTGCACTACTTTATCGAGCAACTCTTTTTCTCTGGCTAATAGAAATAAGAGAAAAAATCCTAAGCACTACAGAAAAGAAAGTGTCCGGGGTGTGTTTATTGATAAAGCCTACTGAACTTGCCTATTTGTTAAAGCTGCTTCACACCATGCAATATCTGAGCCAGTCTACATTGTGTGCTCAGAAGTAATTTACAGTATTTCTTTAATTTTCTGAAATTTATACAGACTTCCCCAACACATCTAAATTAGTGACAATTTGATTAAATGCTTGATTTGATTAAATGCTTCTGTCTAGAAAATGTCTTTTCAAAATCTGTATGATATTGTTTATATGTGGAATCTAAAAAATGAAACAAACTAGTGAATATAATAAAAAAGAAACAGACTCACAGATATAGAAAACAAACTAGAGCTTACCAGTAGGAAGAGGGAAGTGGGGGGCAATATAGGAGTAGGAAATAAAGAGGTACAAACTATTATGTATAAAATAAATAAGCTACGAGGACATATTGTACAACACAGGGAAAACAGCCAATATTTTATAACTATAAATGGAGCACAGCCTTTAAAAACTGTGAATCACTATGTCGTACACCTATAACTTATATACTACTGTACACCAACAATACTTCAATTAAAAAATAATCACTCAATCAAATGGACTACTAAAAAATAGAATATGAGGTTTTTTTCACTGCCATAATATCTCATTTGTAACTATCACAGAAAAAAAATTAGATTGAAGGGGACTCAGCAGGTCTCCTACAAAGCAGTCCTTTTGCAGCATCCTGAGTGCCTTGTTTCTTTTGCAGTTAAATGGATTGGCAGTTTCTCCTCCAAAGGCCAAGAGTCAACAGAATTCCACCATGCCTCTTCACCATACCCAAGAAGAAATACCTTTTATTTTGTTGACTTAGTTTGCATGAGGGGTAGAAAAGACATGAAAAGGCCACAGTGCTCAACCCTGGTTGTTATGAAGGGGAGGTCTGTCATGATCACACACAAGCACAACATTCTAAATTCCTCCTGGTTACCAGCTTGGGGGGGAGGTGGGTTGTGGGAGTGGAGGTGGGAGTTTGAAGACAGGAAAAACTCACATAGACAACACGACTATCATGTGATGTTATTACTCAGCATATCTTAGAAGACTTACAATTTAATTAGATGGCACTGGTATTTTCTAGATATTATACATTTGGAGATAAACAGATAAGTCACCTACCATTTCACAAGCTACAAATAAATCTTTTACGCAAATATAACATTCCACCTTAAATTATTCCCAAACTGAGAAATAACTCAATTCCAAGGGCCCAATTCCTAGAGGACATGTTTCAACTAAACCCAATAATCAAACAGGAATTAAAGGCCTTATAATTGAATAAACAAGATGACCATCTCCTGGTCACTTTACAGATTGCCCTGTGTTACTATTTTATATTACACGTTTACATTCATGAAGTAAATTTGATAGAAGGCATCAAAAATAATTATATATGTATAGGGACTTTCACTGGTGGTGCAGTGGATAGGACTCCATGCTCCCAATGCAGGGGGCCTGGGTTTGATCCCTGGTCAGGGAACTAGATCCCACATGCATGCTGCAACTAAGAGTTCACATGACACAACTAAGGAGCCCGTGTGCCACAACTAAGGAGCCCATGTGCTGCAACTAAGGAGCCAGTGAGCTGCAACTAAGACCTGGCGCAACCAAATAAACAAGTAAATATTTTTTTAAAAACCTAGTGAATTTATTAAAATATAATAATAATAGTTATATACGTATATATAGTACCTGGCTTTCAAAGAGATTAGAGGACGTACATACATTTTTCATATACCCTGACACAGTATCTCTGAAAAGTAAGAGACATACTTTTTCTTAATCTTCTCCACTTAGTTATCAATTCCTTTAAAGAGTTCAACACTAGAGAATATGTCTTAACACATGGTAATATTAAAGTAGGAGATGTCGGGGCTTCCCTGGTGGTGCAGTGGTTGAGAGTCTGCCTGCCAATGCAGGGGACACAGGTTCGTGCCCCGGTCCGGGAAGATCCCACATGCCGCAGAGCGGCTGGGCCCGTGAGCCATGGCCGCTGAGCCTGCATGTCCGGAGCCTGTGCTCTGCAACGGGACAGGCCACAACAGTGAGAGGCCCACGTACCGCAAAAAAAAAAAAAAAAAAAGTAGGAGATGTGAGCAAAGAAAACCAAAACAAAATAAAAGTGAGCTACATAAATAGGACCAAAGATAAAGAGATATTAAACCGAATGAGAAAGGAAACCACTACAAGCAGAAAACAAACTTTAAAAAGTTGGGTGCTTAATGATCCCTTTATTTCTTTCCTTTCCTTTACTTAGAAATTCATCACAAAACTTTGTTTACAATACTCCATACACTTCCTCTTCAACCATTGTCAGTTTCAACAAATTCTCTCTGTTCTTGAATTAGAGACTCCTGAGATTCATATTCCAATATAGTCTTTCTACCATCTGAAGATGGCAACATTATTCTACCCTCAACTAGGCTCAACATAAAAATCACCCTATCAAAACAAATTTTATTAATGCTTTTAAAGCAAAATACAAAGTTAAGATTAGATTCTCTAGTATTTGTAGAATTTTATAGTTTACATCATGCCAGAAGAAATATGTCATCTGTATCCAAAAGTTTCTCAGTGTATATATATTTAAAACAACAATGCAAAGTTAAATCTATTTACTTGCTGCATGCAGGGCTGCTGGAGATGAAAGTGTCAGGAGTAGGTAAGTGAAGTAAACAGACCAACTACATAGCTCTTGGGTTATTTCCCCTATATGGGTTGGTATTCAAAGGCAGATGTTTTAGGGAGATAATGAGCCAATATCTGTAGACACCACTCTACTGGTTCCATCAGACAACAAGGTAATCAACATTCTGTTGCAGAAGAAACAGCATGAGCTCTTACACAAGAAAACGCAAATGAACTAGAAACCTGGAAAAATGAAAGTTACATTATGTTGAGCCTCTAGATTATCCTAATAGTAACCTACATCTTATTTACCAAAAATAAGTAAGAGCCACTTAAAAACATGACCAAGATTTATTTTTCACTCCCAAGGAAAAAGATATGCAGTCCTAATGAAATGAAAAGATATGCAGTCCTAATGAAATGCAATGGAAACCCATTTTTGACTGCAAAGAAAGCTGCAGAAGACTCCTAACTCTCAGTGGTCAACCAAAACAAACAAACAAACAACAAAAACCCTAAAAAAAAAAAAAAGACATTATTATCTATCATAAATTAATGCTATACCTGGTTTATTAGGAATCCTGCCGTTTAAAGTTTGGCATATTGTTACACAGCACAAGCCTTGCTAGTTAGGTGCTACTCTTTGCACATTAAGATAATGCAACTGACAAGAGTGAAGGCTGCACAAAGGCTTGAACTTTGCAACTTTGTTTTAACAGTAGAGATAGATTTGATAAAACAGCTCCCCTTCTCTCCAGACATCCCAGATGTGAGTCAAGAATTTAGGAAACAAGGAGTCAAAATCTGGCCAGAGAAGTTGACAGTCACAGCAGCAAAGTCTAAAAGTTAGACCTTAAAATAGTTTTCTTAACTTCAGGGCTACTTAGTGCATTAATTGGTTACACTGTGTTGTGCTTAATCACAGTCAATACAGACCACTGACCCATCCTCAGCAAACACTGACCTAATTTAATGGGCTAAAGACAGCAAACTTTGTATCTTGCTGGAATTGCTCAATGCTCCTCCTTAACTTTCTCCAGTGGCCTAAAGTGAACAGGCTCAGTCAGCGCTGGGTAGCAAATCTAATGGCACAAATAACCCCCCAAACCTGCAAAGCCCTAATTTGTCCCAACCCCCAAACCTTTTCCACTTCCTTCAACCTTCCTCCTCCAAAATCTACATCAATACCCAAAGAAAATATACCAACAAGTTTCCAAGTACCAAACAGTCAAAACGTATAAATGATGCTGTATAAATTATTTTAAGAAACCAAAACATCTTGTCCTATTGACATTCAGAGAAGTCTAGTGCCAAAAACGAAATTAACGGCACTACAAATGTATTAGAAAAGATATTTCTTCAATAATCCTCATGTGATTTACTTCAAAGGGTGGTCAGAAAAGATCAAAGAGAAAAAAAGAAAAAAAAAACTGATGGAAATGCAAGCAGTTATTTTTTTTCATCGAATTTGATTATAACCTTTATAGTCAACCTACCTTAAATTTAAGTAAGTCAGCATCTGCAGATTAATGATGGCCTCCGGAATGACTCTGATACAATTATGATACAGATTAAGAATTTCCAGTGATACAAAATGGCACAATTCCATTGGAACTTCAACCAGTCTATTTTTAGATAAATCTATGAGAAAAGGAAAAAATATCTTGTTAATAACTCTTCAACATAATCCAATACAATCTTATCAACTATCAATACTTTTTCCTTAACACATTTTAAAATAAACATTATCATCTACATCTAGATCAACACTATCATTTTTTGCACCACTGTTACTATGGCACTGTGATTCCTGTTTCCTAGCGTTGTATAGCCCAATTCATACAGAAAAGCAAAAATACTGCTGAAACAGTTTTAGCCCTATTTTTTTTTTAATACATTTATTTATTTGTTGCTGCGCGTGGGTTTTCTCTAGTTGTGGCGAGCGGGGGCTACTCCTCGTTGCAGTGCACAGGCTTCTCATTGTGGTGGCTTCTCTTGTTGCGGAGCACGGGCTCTAGGCGTGCAGGCTTCAGTAGTTGTGGCACGTGGGCTCAGTAGTTGTGGCTCGCCGGCTCTAGAGCGCAGGCTCAGTAGTTGTGGTGCACGGGTTTAGTTGCTCCGCGGCATGTGGGATCTTCCCGGACCAGGGCTCGAACCCGTGTTCCCTGCATTGGCAGGCGGATTCTTAACCACTCCGCCACCAGGGAAGTCCTAGCTCTTTATATTAATTTGTAAATTCAGGCCAGGTGTAAGGGCAACCAAATCAACATTTACTTTTCGCTCCATCTGAAAATTATTTTTCCCCTGGACAAATATGTAAAATTGAATCCTTTAATATATCTGAATACACAGTTACCTTAATATTTCATTTATTTAATTCAATTTTGCATTCATAACATATTATCTCTCAGAACACGTCTTTTATACTTTTCCCAAACAAACACAGAGTAGATACTAAAGTATTTCATTCACTAGAATTACTGAGCACGCATAATGTACAAGAAAGAGATAAATCAATTGTGTCTATGAAGGATGGATACTATGCCGCGTGACCTTCAGTAAAACTGGCTCCCTTGCCAAGTGTACCAAAGACAGTAATAATGGTCTATAGGGTAATGCAAACATACAGTACAGTTTACAGTATCACCATCTCAACAATAAAAATATGGAATCGTCCTTAACGTCCAAATCTGGGAATGGTAAACATGATTGTGAAATGCCATGAAACACTGAATATAAAAAAGAGCCACCAACTCTTGAAAACAGTAACTCAACAACAACAGAGCACCTCACCCTTATTTAGCAGGGGCTTAATCCGTATGAATTGAAGATGTTCAGTAAATAATATTTCAGATACACTTAAGGAATCACACTACGTGGGTGAGGGACTTAAATAGGTCAATATAATAATGAAATATAAGTCAAAAAGCTACCTCGCTGACTGACCTTCCAATAGATACACACATAAATCGACAAAAACAGGTCTAGATTGCTTCAGAGGGGGAATTCCAGGAAACTTTTAAGGGATAATTCTGATAATATTTAAACCATTTCAAACCATATGGAAAGGAAGGGAAGTTTCCAAATTCTTATTTAAACAGCAAGGTATAATATTGATACCATCACCCAACAAAGAAAGTACACAAAAGGGAAACTACATATGAATCTCCTTTCCAAATACTGATGTGGATCCTAAATTAAAAATGAGCAAACGGAATTGAGCACTTACATAAAAAGATTAACATACTATGATTAAGTGGGATTTATTCTAGGAATATAAGGATTTTTAAAAATTATTTCAACAATTCATCATGTAAAAAGAGTGAAATATGAAACAGTGTATGATCATCTCTCCACTTTCATCCTTGTTCTCCCTTCCCCTTCTATGATTCACACTGCAGTAAACTTCTCTTAAGGTCTCTGAGAATTTCAATAGGAAAATCACATGCAAAATTATCAGCTGTCCAGGGTCGGGCCAACAGTATCGCCCTAATCCTTTAATTGAGTTATTTTGTATTTTTCCAGGAATTCTTTTTTTGAGAGTATTATATTATCCACTATAAATAAAGTTATAAGGTGTTAATGGCGGGCACCTGTCACGCCCGAACCTACAATGCTAGCCAAATGAACAGACCTCCGTGTCCACTGAGTTAGTGAGCATTTACCTATGCAACGCACCCCTATCATCCTGGGTTTGTGTACCAGTTTCTAAATTAAAAGGGAAGAAATCACAAAACCTACATGTAGCTTAGATTCTTTCAATGCCTGTATATCAATAGAAACAGATGCCTAGATTAAATTAAAACAAAGCTGAAAAACAGAAAGAAACAAAAGTTTTCCTTTCCTGTTTGTTTAGCAACACTACCCAGATTATTGACATTTTCATCAACATTTACTAAGTACATGATTTCTGCAGAAATGAAAAACACAGAGGGCTACTTTTAAAAAGTTTATCATTTGAAAGATGAAAGGCACAAACCCTGAATTGAACCATAAGGTAAAAGGTTCTAATTGTGCTTAAAAAAAAGTACAAATAAAGAGCTAAAATCCAGATGGGTAAATGTTATCATCCCTTGAGCACTTCCATCAAGCCAGGCATTATGCCTGGAGCTTTGCATCTAGTACCTCATTTAAACCAACGCAAGGAGCAGTGTCACCACCAACCTAAAGATGAGGAAACTAGGCTCAGAAAGCTTATGTGACTTGTCCAAAGCCACAGAAATAAGTAATCGTACTCACACCTAAGTACGTCTAACTGCAAGGCCTGACTGAGTTCCCCACGTGAGACCACTCTGCAAGATCATGATGTGTCCCACAGCTAGATTATTAGGAAGATACGGTGATTAAATCTTCACTGCATTTTTATTTGCCCAAAATGCAATAAAAACAGAGTCAACATGTTCTGTGTAAAGACTCAGAGGATAAGAAAGTTATAAACATTAAGTTCAAAAGAGAAAGTAATGAAAACAATATGTCACCTGATGGGCTAAATTCTGGAAGTGGCTATAGGAAACTTGGTAAGTAGAAACTCTGGCTTCAACTGCCAATTATCCTAATCTTACATAAGCACTCTGTTTCACTAAAGAGTTTAGAATGAGTTTTCAAATACGTGACTTACTTTTCCTGCTTGGGTCTGAATATCATTTAATTCTCAACTAACTTTCTTATTGGAAGAGAAAAAGAGGGTGCAAAAAAACGAGCAGGTTTGCTTTCCTATAATTTACTTAGGCTCACGCAGAAATCACCTTGGATCCTTGGGCATCCACCGCAATGGGAAAGATGCCCAGAAAGGCTGGGGAAGTCAGTCTGGATTAAGACGTTTCGATTTTGATAATCCAGAGTGGATAATCCGATTATAAACAATGGAACAAATGACATAACAGTTTGTTCAAAATTCTTCCTATCAGCTGAAAGCAAAGAACTAAAATGGGGTCTGGTCCCTCTTTTAAAACACACACACGTACACACACACACACACACACACACACACAGGAGGAGGAAGAGATCCAGGACTTAGCTGTTATTAAAGATGTGAGCAGACGGTCAGTTCATGGTGCCCACACAGATGTGAGTGTCCCTAACTGGGACTTTGAAAGGGCAGATCCATGCCAGAGACAGAGACAGCTCAAGCAGCAAGCAGGAGCCTGGCTGTCCCAGTCACGACTACAGACAGACCACGATGGGAGCAATGAAGGTTCTCCAACTCAGGAAAGACAGAAAGAATAAGAGCTCAAAGATAACAGGCAAGGGTTAAGGAGGCAATTTGTATCTTTATTTTGAAATACAACTCAAACCAGCTTGGGTAAAGGGGTCAGGAGCTGTGAGAAGCCCAGTACTTTCCGAGTGATAGAAAGATAAGTAAGCTTTAGAGATAAACAGTGATGAGGAATTTGTGTTTATTTTTGTTGTTTATTTCTCTAATTTTGTTATAACTACATGGAGGTATAAATGAACCCACTTTTGAGCTATTTCCCTAAATAAAGTATTTGCCTAGCATTTCTCAATCTCGTTGGTATACTGGAATCACTTTAAAAAATCCTGAAGTCTGGGCCAGAAGTACTAGGGTGTGACTTGGGCATCCCTGTATATCCAGCTGATCCCCACTATCCCAGGGGAAACACCGGTGATCCACCCTCTCAGCTTCTACCTAAAGCAAGACCCACCAACAGGTGGCGCTCTCCTAGGAGCAGGCGATCAGGCCCAGGAAGGGTCCGGTTTTAGACAACAGGCTTGGGAACGAAAGCCTGTGCCAATCCAGAGTTAACCACTGCTCAGTGAGATTCTTACTCTAAATTCCAACTCAACTGTTTTTGGGATACAATCAGAGCAACAAAAATCCGATCTGCAATAGAGTTTTCATATCATCGGGTGGCTACAATCAGAGAAAATCTGGTTTTTTCCTCACTGAATCTTCACCATAACCTAGGGAGGCAGGTGCTGTTGTAACTCCCTGGTATGTGTGGACACCAAGGCCCAGAGAGGTTAGGTAACTTGCCTGAGGTCACAGAGCTAGTAAGTGGCAGAGGCAAGAACTAAACCAGTAGGTAGTTCTGAACCACTGCTGGGTCGGCCTTGTAGGACTGCGGTTAGGGAAGGTCAGTTGTTCTTGTCCGTATCTCTAATTTTAAAAATAATAATAATAACAGATCCGTTTCTGAGGCCTGATCAGGAGGCATTAAAGGATCCCAAAGCTCCGGACTAAAAGTACGTGATCTTTGACCAGGTCCTAATATTTTCTCCAGGACGAAGAGCATGTGTCATGGTGCCCGGTTGCCTACCCCCAAGCTGGACTCTGTCCTTCCTTGCTGGAAACCTGCCCAGCGGTCTAGCCTGGCCCTGGGGAGCGGGGTCCACCGCAGCTCTGGGCAAACAGCCGGGCAGCAAACCGGAACTCCAGAACCACGTCCCCCTCGTGTCTACTTCTTAATTGGAACGTTCACATGAGAGCAGAGCAGCCAGAAATAAAACAATAAGTTCGACCCGGCCAAAACAAGCTTTGCAAAGCCCTAAAATAAAGTAGCCAAAGGAATAAAAATGAGCAGAGGAGGGTAGAAAAACAGTCAGTGGAATCTGGTATGCAGTCAGCACCCTCAGAGGCACGATGTTGTTTTTGTATAAAAAAGGAAAGTGGTGCCTCAGGA